CATAGCCTTACCCTTCCTTAGTCCCTAGTGGGCGCGGGGACTCTAATGACGGGGGCTATGAGACTACCCCAATGTCTATACACTGCCTAGAGACCACCAGTCATTCAGGTGGTCCTAACCCATGAGACAAGCATTGACTCGAACCGGCTGGTCATCAAGCAAACTTTTAACTACTTGGACTATCCCAGGTAGTATTTCAACCTTTGATGCAATTTCCCACCCACCTATGCGGTCTCCGCAGGTGGCCCATGAGGCCAATTGTATGTGAGTCAACTACTCCCCTCGAGTGGTGAACTACCGGTTAATAAGCAACCTGAACCATTCAACCCTACCTACCACAAGGTTCATACACCCCTCTCCCCCCCCACACCCCAGAGATGAGACTGCCTTTGTACCCCATTGGTTCGAAACAGACACGAGGGGGAATACACCTAGGCATACTACTCACCACTCCCCCCCACTATGAAGGCCCCCCTCCAACCGGGAAACTCCATGGTACCCAGACGTCTAAGTGGTAGGTGCAGCAGTCACCAACTTGTGTGCAACGGTAAGAAGAATTTCCCCGACGACAATGACGAGGGGGAGCTCTGCGAGAAGATGAACTGTCCTTCCGGTCGAGTCAAATGGGCAGGCGGGAGTAACCGCACCTGCATCCTGTCGTGTCTGATGTGCGACGGAGTGGAAGATTGTCCATTCCAGTGGATGATTGCCAGGGGAAACGGACGAAAACTGGTGCGACGCGTCTGCCTGCAGAAGCTAGGGCTATTCTGCAGCGCCCTGCCTTCTCACACGACCGCTGGCACGCGCACACTTGCCCACACACTAGTGCAGCAGCAGCCCCGCGGGCGCTAGTCCAGCACTGCTGCCGTGTATGCTTGCAAGTGCCCAATGTCCAGCCTGGTGCCCTGCCCTTCCTATATGGAAAGTGGCGGGCGCTTTGCCTTGCTTCCCACGTGAGACCGAGTTTCCAATAGCTCCAGTCTTAGCCAAAGCGTCTGCGCCCAGGCCCGTTCAAACAGTGACATAAGACCAAATTGGTTAGGCATGCCCAACCACCCAGGCACAAACATGCGGTGCTCCCTGCTTTAACCACGTTGTTGGATGAGCCTGGAAGGCTCACCAGTATTTTGGATTCTGTAACCAACTGGCGCGTGGCAACTATTTGGCGCCGACCAAGATTTGCAAAAATTGACGAGTTCAGGGCGCATTGAGATTCAGGGGGCAAGTCTCTTCAGAACATCAGACCCTCACAGTGACCTCTCTCTCTCTCTCTCTCTCTCTCTCTCTCTCTCTCTCTCGCTCTCTCTCTCTCTCTCTTTCTCTCTCTCTCTCTCTCCCTCTCTCTCTCTCCCCCGTGTCCCATGGGCAACGGTTTGCGCTCCGAACATTCTTACAGCTCCGCTGCCGCAGCCTCCCAACTCCGCCTCCTTATATGGTTGCCACGCAGTTCGGTTCTGAAGACCTTCTACTTCGTGAACGTCTGGCACGTGTAGGAGGGCAGCGTTTTTAAACCCCCTGATGAAAGTTCTAAATACCCACAATGGGTGTGAAACTTGGAGTGTTTAGAATTAGGTGCTCGTGCCACCACTCGCCGCCGATCGGCAATACCCCGAACGAAAAAAGAAAGGGGAAAAAAGAAATCGAATGCATATATCGTAATGTCGGTGCAATATACGTAGGTCACCTCCTTCCTTTTCTTCATATGGTTGTTGATGTTTTCTTTCTATGGATGTTGATCTCTTCCTCCTTGATTTTCCCTGAGTGATTTTTTTTTCCCCTTCTTCTTTTTGTTGTTATGATTGTGGCCAATTTCTAAGTACACATTCATCCAATAGTACAATGTCGTCCAATTGCATAAATAAATTAATGAACTTGAGAGGAGAGAGAGGGTAAGAAGAAGAAAAAAAAAAAAAAAAAAAATGATGATGTACATCAGCATACACAAATGATAAGTCCATGAGCAAAAGTCAGAAATCAACTGTGTGTCTCACTCCGTGTTTGGTCGGGTCATCACACTAACCCTCCCTTAAGAGTGAGGTCCCTTCGAGCGAGTAACTCAATCTGAGTCCCCGACAAACGCATTGTAAGCAAATAAGGCAAAGAGATTTTGAGAGTACTCTGTTGCAGTGAGCTTTGCAGAGATTTTGGGAACAACATTAGAGATAATTTGTCGTTCGTAGGCTTTAACAACCTGAGGTGCCAGTGCGCTGAGCAGCAGTTCCTTCTTGGAGATCAAGTAGAGATCGTCCAATGGATGATACATGAAGTGAACCTGGTATTGTCTGTTACGTCCTTTCCCTACGTGCTGTTTGATTCTATCGATCTCATGACCGCCATCGATTGCACGAGGAATCATGTCTTCACGGTAATCGAAGGTTTTAGCATCACGGTGGATATGTAGTTTTGATGCATGAAAGACGGGGTATGTGCGCAGATAAGGTGGCACAACAACTGTGTATGAGGGGCCAACCCATCCTTGCCAATCACATCCAGAAATTTC